TCTCTCTCTCTCTCTCTGCCCCCACCCCCAATCTCAGCCCTGCCTGAGCATGCGCAGAGCAGAGGCTAGGCGGGTGGGGTGATAACCCGGTGCAGAGAGCGCCCGGGCAGGTGGAGCTGGCGCCCGGCCCGTGTGAGCGGTGACTCACCAGCTGGAAGAGAACCTGGGTACGCTATGGTATACTTTGAACAGCAACAAATATTTGGCTTGAGTCATGTGTGGATGTTTACGGATTATCTCGAAGGAAAGCTGGAGCCGTGACAAATCCTAAGTAGGGGAAGACAGGTTGACAAGTCGTAAAAGCGCGGAATCGGAATAAGGTCCGCCCACCCATCAGTTTTGTTGCTAAGATTCTGTGTTGGTTTCTGACTCAGAGGGTGGGGCAACGTGCAGCCGATTGTTCAGAAGAAGCCTGCCTTGTGGGACCCAGAGTGCGCTCCTGGGTGGTCTCAGGAGGGGGCAAAGTACTGCAAGCCTGGTGGAGCCTTTTCCCTCTTGGGGACCACTTCTGCAAGCCAAGGCTGAGCTCGCCCCTCCTTTCCCTTCCTTCCTTCCTTCCTTCCTTCCTTCCTTCCTTCCTTCCTTCCTTCCTTCCTTCCTCCACCCTCCCCTCTCTTCCCTCCCTTCCCCCTCCCCTCCCTCTCCTCTCTGCCCCTCTCCTCTTCAACACTGACTCTTCAGGCCTTCAAAGATGGTAACTGCAGATTAAGGGGATACCAAGGGCTAATCTGATAATTTATCAAATATTCATTATAGATGTCCTTACAAATTGATTCCCAGGCTGCAAGGATGGCTCAGTGGGTAAGACTTGGCATCCATTGCAACCTGAGTCCCATCCTTGGAATTGGTTTAATTTTTTGTTTTTAAGCCTGGAGTAATGGCACACACCTTTAATCCCAGCACTGAGGAGGCAGAGGCAGGCGGATCTCTGTGAATTTGAGGCCAGCCTGGTCTACAGAGTGAGTTCCAAGATAGTCAGGTTGCTGTAGAAAGACCCTGTTTCAATAAACTAATTAAGTGTAATAAAAATGAAAACAAAAAAAATCTATTTCCTCAAATGTATTCTAAATGTAACTCAGTTAAACAGGTGGGCCCAGACTCCGCATCTCCATGTCTGAAGTCAGACGCTCTTCAGATCTCCAACTCCTTTCGGTTTTGCTGACAGCAACACTCTTCTGTCTCAGGGGCTGGTTCCACTCTGTGAGCCGCTCTCCTCCGCAGCTATCCCACAACTCCGGCATCTCCAGCATTTTGTCAAGATGTTCTCTCTTCTATAGGGTGAAGCAGGTGGAGGTACCATTTGTTCCTTTCTTATAAACTTAAAAACTGATTTATAATTTGATGTTTATATGTGAGCGACCACATGTCTATATGTGCAGTGTGAGTGTGCCTGGTATTCAAGGAGACTGGAAGAGGTCGCCATATCCCCTGGAACTGGAGTTATAGGTGGTGTTAAGCAACCTGATGTGGGTGCTGGGAATCACATAAGGGTCCCCTGCAAGTGCTCTTGCCTACTGAGTCTCTCCAGCCCCCTCGTGACTTTTTTATTTCTCTTTGCTTTAAGAGCTGTTTTGTCTCAGTAAGCTGCTATTTTCCTGCCCTGGCTTTACAGACACAATCTGCCTTTCCCCCTAATAAGATGGGAGCCAATTGTCTTCTGTTGGCGAGCCCAGGCAAAATTCCGCCATGTCGACGGCAAGTGGGAGGCAGAGCCTTATCTCCGGGTCAAGAAGCGAGAGCCAGCAGAAAAAGCAAAGCTCAAGGTGGAAGGATAAAGGAAGGGAGTGAACTCCAAGACAAAACAGCCCATGAAAATGCCAGGGATGGAGGCCAGAGACGTGGTCCCACCTTGCCCTGTCAATATCCGTCTGGACCACTTAAAAGTGGTTGCTTCTATTTCTCCTTCATGGTTTCCCATTCATTCTCCTGTGTTGGGGAGAAGAGGAAAGCGAAGCCTGTGGGGCTGAGCAGGAAGCCTGACCGCACCGTGGGGATGCTGTACTCCTTCCGGATGCTCAGCCCATGGAGTCTGTCAGATTTGAAGCTGGGGTTGGGGAGCCAGCTGTACCACAGGGACCCCCTGCTCAGCTGAACATCTGATTAAATATAGGGAACTATGATGTTTCCTTTCAGCCTACAGAGGCTGGCACAAGCTGTTCTTTGATGTGAAATTAAATCTATTCAAATTGGCAGGCTCTCCGCGAGAAGGGTCATGCTGTCTTTCTGTCTGCCTGCTCTATAAGCCTAGTATCCCACGGTTTCCCCAGCCTGTCCGCTCATTTTCTTTTCACATCCACATTTAATAGCCCGAATCCTGGTTCTGTATGCTGGAGGTCACCAGTGCCCTCTGGGTGATTCAAAAGATGCCCTGGACACAGCTTGTCAGTTGCCTCCTCCCTCCCAGCCATGGTTTCTTCTTCTCTAGCTGTTTCCTCCCTCTTCCTAGCCTTTGCCCTTGCTCCAGTCTAAGCACATACACAGTCCTGGCTATTCCCTGCTCATCTCCAGTGAGCATTTAAAATTTAACAACAGCCTGGCTAGGGACTGAACACTAAAACAACCATCCACTGTCATATATCACCCTCTGCTTCTCACGCTTTGGGAGGTAAAGAGCTGCGTTATTAAGGCAATGGGCAGGAGCTAGGGGATTGCTGTCAGGGCTGGAAATGAACTCTAGTCCTGTAGAAGAGCTCTCCACTCTTAACTGAGGAGCCATCTCTCCAGCCCTTGCAGCATCTTTCCAAACAGCATGTTCTCTCCTAGTGGAAGGTCGTAGGCAGTGTCTTGGCAACAGTAGAGGATGAATAGCCAATGGCTGGCTCTGTCACTGGGCCTTCATGACAAATTTGCTGAAGAAATGGGTCCGTTCATTGACCCAGCAAGTGTTTAAAAAGTCTACAGTGAGCCGGGCGGTGGTGGCGCACGCCTTTAATCCCAGCACTTGGGAGGCAGAGGTAGGCGGATCTCTGTGAGTTCGAGACCAGCCTGGTCTACAAGAGCTAGTTCCAGGACAGGCTCCAAAACCACAAAGAAACCCTGTCTCGAAAAACCAAAAA